TTTAAATGAACTACTATTTTATTTTGAGAGAAAATTATTAGAATCTTTATCTCCTATATATTATCTTGGTATACCAGTCTTATCAGCATGTAGACCCCTAATTCCTTTGATGAATCTGGTGCTGGTATAGATGTAGATCTAGTGTTTTTATTTATTGTAACTGTACTGATTTTGTCTAGATCTAGATGATCGTTGAGTCGATCTCCATTTCCCTATCATTAGTATCAATTGTAATCATTGTCTAGATCTAGTTCATTTCTTAGAATCAATGAGGATAGTTTCCTGCTTCACGCAAAGTTTATTTATTTGGATTATACTAGAGTACCTAAATCAATAGTGTTTTTTCATTTTGTAATTAAATTTACCATTTAAAAACACAAAACTCTGGGTTCGAGATAATTGTCATTTACCATAAGTCGAATAGGGAATAGTCCTACATGACGTTTTTTTCTTTGGATTTTTAATTATGGACATTAGGTTTAAGGAAAGGTGCGCGAGACCGATATGTCGGGCTGTGGAGTTTTTACGCGCAGACCGATAAATCGGGCTAGCGGATTCAAAAGGTTAATATTTTGCTTGCTTAATTAAGGTTTATTTGTGTATTGGTTTTTAGCAACTTAGATGTGCTGTATTTAATTTTTTTTTAAAATTATTGCTTGTCTTATTGTTTGTTACAGAACCTCATGTGCTTCTTTTTAGACGTCCATTACCAATATCTCAACAGAGAGATCAAAATGGAGTTTCAGCACATGGAGCCCCCATAATGATTGGGTGACCTTGACATCTCACTGTATTTTTTTTAATTTTTATGTTCATATTGTTTAATATTTTGTTTATTGACATTGTTACTTCTTTGATCTTCTGTATCTACGTGTACAGGAAAATGTAAATGTATTAAAAATTATTGATAAGAATATTTTGATTGATTTTATAAACTGACTAGTTCTATAAATTTTTTCTTTTATTCATTTATTCCCTTTTAACTCTGTTTTTGTTTTTTTTAAGCTGCTAGTAAGCAACAAAAACATTTTTTTTACTAGAGTTTGAAGTGAAAATCACTGCTTATATATTGTTCTCCATTAATCACTATTGTCAAATACTGTTTTTTTTTTAATCCTTTGCCTGCTAATGTACAGTGTTGTGTATTGGGGGGTTTGATTGCAAGATATTGTTCATTCATTTTTTTTATGCTGGTTCACATTTGTCTTCTATAAAGTCTCATGGCTTATAGAATGCAATAAATTCTCTGATCAGTTCAAAGTCTTTCTAAACTTTGTTGACTCAATCATTAGTTTGTAATGAATTTGATATGATTTAAAAAAAATAATTTTGTATAATGTTGTTATAATCTCCTTATTGTATTAGAACAATGAGAATCATTAGCATACAATCTCTCATACCCTTGTAAGTAAAACAACCTGTTTGAAAGATGTTCTCTTTTATTGTAATCAATGTACAGGCTTACTAATACAAGAATTTCAAACCAGTTGTCACTGCACTCACAGCTTGCACTCACCATATGGTACATTTGGAATCATTTCTTTACAAAATTATAAATAATAAATGACCACCTCTTTGGCTGGTGAATTAAATACTGGAAACTAAAATGATTTGACCAGATTACTTAGGTCAGTGACTTCAAGGAAAAAAAAATTGGTTGCGATGTAAAACATAAAAACATTTTTGCCTCAGTATTCAAGCATAACATAAAAAGAATTGTTTTAACAAAAATAATTTACCTTTATCATCTGATGTCAGGATTATGACAATTTTCTGTAACAGTACAAGTCACATATTTGTACATAGTATTATGCATAATATGTTATAGCATTGGTTTCATGTAGCATGATACATCATTGTCCCAGATAGTATAAGGTATCATCTCATTGTTCACATATTATGTTTGTAATGGGGGACACAAAAATAGTTTTGGAATTATTGCATTTCAAGTCACACTTTCATCCGGGTTCAATTTATTGACAGGGATAGAGGCTTCATGTACATGTGCCTAGTATAATGAAAGTTAATGAAAATATCCTTAAACATAGAATTAAATGAAAGCCAGAGACTTTGAGGCTAAATAAACAACAGTATCAATGATGCAATTTAAAAACAAATAATCTAAAGAATCTAATCACCTCATGCAAACATGTTCACTTAATTTGTTTAGACATGTTGATAACTTAACTATAGTTACATCTGTCAGACCCAAACAAAAAAATGCACATGCTTAAAAACATTTAATATATTACACTTGTTTGTATTTTAAGCATCAACTCCACAAACCTAAATATCCTTTTCCAAAACTAGAGAACTCAAGACTTCTGACAGCTTCCGTTCAATATATGGGTTAAAAGTAATATATGCACATTGTCTATAAATAGCTTAAACATCTAAACCAATAATAATTAGATACCCTACCCTACTAAAGCTTTTATTATTATTATGATTAAAGATTGCAAGGTCTAAAAGAGGTACTTTTTTTCTTTTTTTTTTATTATTACTGCATCAAAGAAGTATGGAAATGCTAATAGTATACAATTATTTATTAAGAGTATATAGTTAGTCTCTAGGTGTTTCAAATTTAAAAGACAGAATTAGTTGATATGACAATGTATTAAGTCATTTATTCATCAGTCAATCTTAATATTGGTTTCATCAGGTATGGAGGTTTATAAGAACAATTATATTAGAATATTCTATTGTATGAAAGTTGGACATGCATCAGATACTTTCAAAGCGGTTCACACCAAACAAAATTGACATAAAAATAAACTGCAGAAATTCCCAAACATTAGCAAATTCGCTGCTGCCACACATATCATACAAGTCAATAGATTTAAGTCTTAGCAGTTTTAAAGGAACAAAAGCAAATTACACGGAATCTGACTTTGTTTTTCCTTATTTGAGTCATAGAACTATTAGGACACTTTTTATCAGCTTGCACTAGTCACATTCAAAGTAAATGAATAGCCCAATCTGGCACACCATCTCTTACTTTTATTCTATGAATTTTAGCTTCTGCTGTGATATGAACACTATACAACAGGCAAGAATATGTGAGAATAATAAGTTGAGATAACATGTGAAGGAGTTATATACATAATCAGCATAACATTTCATTGATGTCAGACTAGATTCCAACAAACTATTTACAAATGGTGATGTTACATTGTTATATAAATTAGTTTACCACTGTGATCAGATGTTTTGTATAGACAAATTAAATACAGTAGAAGAAATATTATGAGGTTAATTGGTTGCCTACCCCTGCATTCGCAGCTGGAAAATTCTTTAACATTCTAAATATGGTTCAAATCTAGATGCCAATGTTGGTGTACTTTTATGCTAAACTAAACAGCTCTCATCAGTGTCTGGGAAAGTATAATATTTCGGAAACTTGATAGATGTCAGTGTAATATGATCAATATTTACTAGCTGTTCTTGTACCTTTAATGTTTGTCTGAAACAAGTCACATTTCTTTGGATTTATTATTTGAAGAAACCAATTAACTTATTGTAAGACAAATTTCCTTACGGACAATAAAGATTATTATTATTATTATTGCAGATCACCAGGCTTGAATTTGGGTCCTAGAAATGAAGTGAATCAGTAAGTTTATTAGCATTTCATATACAACATTCTAAGACCATGAATATAATAGTTGGTCTTTATGAAGGTTTGCTCAACATTGTGAAATCTAAACTCTTGTGATGATGTAAAATCAAACAACTTAAAACCATGGCATTGTGTTGGAAGAAAGGAAGACAAAACAGAAAAAGTTGGTTAATGACAACATCCCATTGTTCAGACAGGCTCTAAGAACAAAACAAGAGACAGATGATGTGTTGTGAGTCAGTGCCTCAACTCTTAGGTTAAAAAAAAAGAGTTTACAAGCTAGTATGCTATTCTTTAACAGTATACGGCACAACACAACAGACGCCTTGTCCATCACACACCCATACTATAATTTAATGAAGAGGTTCTTAAAGTGTATATTATAAATATCATATCAAGTGAATTGCTGAACTGATAATTTGTTTTTTTTTTACATTATCAGTGACATCAGACAAAATCAAGAACACTTGTACTGGATGATGGGTGTGAATAGAACAGAAATGTCTACAACTTTATGACTGTTAAACTTTTCAAACCTACAGGAACTCTAATATAAAGTCAAGAAAGAATGAATACAGAGGACTTAGAGCAACTGGGTATACATAAGAGAATGGTGGTAGACTAAGTATAACTTCTTCTGTCTCAACAGACTATTAATGAGCCTTGAGTTGTTTTTTTTCTTTGGTACCCTGGCCATGGTGCCTCTCCCTACATAGGCTTAACTGACCCCAACGCATCCAGGATTTACATTTGGCACTAATTCAGGTGCTGGTGTTTCTGGAATAAAAGTTGGAAGAAGATATCCAGAGTGAAACTTTATATTTTAGTTTCTTGTTTTTTAATAGCCATTTTGTTTTTCCTCGACCTACTTTAATGTGTTTATTAGCTTATATCATCTTCTTTGTTGAAGTAACTATCTGTATCTTATGAGATAGAACATAAACATTTGTATCTTTTAGCAATCTAACTCTTGATATCATAGAAGACTAATGAGCTTTGTAGTTTAAATTCATTTGATTTACTTCAAAACTTCTTCCTTCTTGAAACTTTTTATCTTTTAAGGTTAAATTCAACAGATTTTTTTTTAGTGTTTCATCTACCTTTCAATAAAGCAACAGTGTAAAGATCAAACAAAAATATTACTTAAAAATGTAATACCACTTTTCAGAAGTTGAAACATGCAATCTACACTATCAACATTCCAAGAAAAGAACAAGCAGGTTGTTTTACAGTATTATTTAATCAAGATGTTCAATACTTTTATTCTCTTAATACAATGGAAGTTGATGACTACTAAGTCTGCACATCAGTTTGACACTTACTAGATCTCTTCATACATCTCAATATTTTTTTCAATACTCAGCACTGACCTTAATACAAAGCTCTAACTAAAGGAGTGCTTGAACACTGATTATTTAGGAAATCCAGATTAGAGCAGCGAAACAAAATCCAATATTTAGTGAATGTACAATGTTAGCGTAGAACAACAAGGAAATAGCTAAAAATCTGTTTCACCAGTAGAGATAAAATATAATGCTAAATAAATATAATGCTAATGTTAAAAGGTTTCAGATAAAATACAAAAAATATTTGAAATAAAAATGCAAAACCTATATATAGATTATCTACATATTAGAGTTCAATGCAGAAAACTGCTTACAATCTTTGTCCATGTTAAAACTCAGATGAAAACTTACAATAAAACAACACGAAAAAGGAGCAGGGAGAAAGTAAGAGTTGTATCAGTCTAATTGAATCATCTGAAGTTTTTTGAGTCTTATTAATGGACCACAGTCTTTTGATGTCTCAGTCTTTCTATTAGTCTTGCCACACTTCCTAAATGTGTATTTGAAGTAGGTTCTGTTTATAAATACAAGTCTTTAGTTAATCTATATTTAATTGAACATTTAACTTAAACTTTAAACTTGATATCTTTAAACTATATACTGATCAAGTTTGATTCACATCATAGACACTACCAAAAAAAAACAGTCTCTTTCTATTACAGCCAACTTCATACATTTAGTTTTCCAGGATTAAATATTTTTTTTACAACTCTTAAAAAAAAAAAAAAAAAAAAAAAGCATTATTCCATTCCATCTATTTGTATTCCTCTTAAGTGACCAGGCAGCAGTGTCCAATAGGGAAAATGACAGGATTTCAAATATGTAACATTTTTATGTCTCTCTCTATATATACATGAAATGTGACTCTCTGTGATAATGTGAACACAGGTAAACATTGTATAAAAATAGTGTACATGTTGCTTTGAAGAAGTTTACTTACAAGTGTTAGAATACGACCACACCATTTCGTGGGATCATATGACTCATTGCATCAAACATGATGTAGAATGTAGTATTATATCATAAGTAGTACATAATCTATACACCAGAACTAACTTATCCGACATAACACATGCATACATGGTTGGACATAAACAGTTCATGACACAAAGTGACATGGACATACCACACACACACACACACAGAAGCTCATACCACTTAAAGAGTAAAAGTGATATGCAACACAAATCAATAGGATTTCAGAAACAAAAAAAACTAAAACTAATCTTCGTTGACTGAAGCATCAAGTTTGATGCTGCTAACTAGATCATGTTCAAATCCCAATTTACCACATCCTTCAGCCAAGACTAACTCCACAACAATCATATCTCAAAGCAAACATATTAGACAATAGTCATAACTCAATGCAAACATACTCGATGATAGTCATATCTCAATTTAAAAAATACTGCACTATTGTCAAATCTCAATGCAAACAATAACCATCAATCTTATAACAAAGAATATACATTTAAATCAACAAGAAGCACACTCAAAAATAGACTTGCAGCTTCGATTCTCCTCACTGGTTATGAAACATGTTGACATTAAATGCATAGCTCTCTGGTAACATGTACAATGGCCTGAGTGCTGACATGAGATTGATGTCATCTGATTACACTGAATGTAACAAAAAAAAATGTATTGGGTTGTTCCCCTTTCAGCGATGATGGCTTTTAATGTCTCAAAATAATTTTCCCTTTCAATATTATTTCGTATTTAATGGTACAAATAAGTCTCATTAAAAGATGGGATGATATCACTGCTAATACAATGATGTGTATTGTAGATGGATCAGTACCACCAACACTGCTAATACAATGATGTGCATTGTAGATGGATCAGTACCACCAACACTGCTAATACAATGATGTGTATTGTAGATGGATCAGTACCACCAACACTGCTAATACAATAGAGCATACCAGTACTGTAAATGGATTGGTACTATTGACTCAATGCAATGAATCAGTCCAAGTAGACAGTGGACATAGTTCAAACTGTTCAAATCACTGATTCTATTACTATTTAACTTTATTATAATTTGCATCTCTAAACTCTTGAAGTGTGCAGGCTTCAATTTCAGCCATCACATGAGTCTTAGCAGACACATGAAATCAAATGTAAACACCAGATGAATCAAACAATGCATCACAATGACTTCTAAGGCTGCATCATTTCATTTCTAAGCAAGTTTGAAAAAAAAACATAATAAATGTTTATAGAAACTGTTGCATTTCAACTTTAAATCCTGTGAGAAAAACATTGATCAGATGCTTTTGTTCAGCAAGACATTGGTTCGACTAAGAGGTCATAATTGTCTGATAACCAACACTTGTGACATTTGCACGACACTACAACAGCCATAAGTCTGTGTTAATGGATGGCTTAAGTGGTACAAATGTCATTAATAGCCAGTTCAGTGCACACACACACAAAAGGACTTGATCCTTTATGATTTCAATGCTGTAGCCACTATAGAATAATATTCAAGCCATAAGTGTTTTATATTTATTTTTTTTAAAAATCTTCTTGAAAAAAATTTGTCAGATAAACCAAAAGTGTAGAAAAGTTTATTCCAAAGCAATTACTTAAGTCTTGTAAACATCTTTACTGTACGAACATAAGCACAACAGAGCTTTAAAAAAAAAAAAAAAAAAAAAAAAAAAAAAAAGAGTTTTTATGTTAAAAAGGTCATGCTGATCTTGTTGGTGTACAGCAGATGTGTTGAGGGCAAGGTGTTGCTTTATACTTTTTTTTTTTTTTAAATCTTAATTTCAACCCACTTCTTGGTTTCAAGGTTCACTTAAAGATCACAGATCTTGTAATTATATTTAGCAGTCAGCAAGGGAAACAATGCTAAACACTGATTTTATTAATGAATAACGTATTCTGAAGATCACAGATCTTAATAATTTTCAGTTGGGAAGTTTACCCTTTGTAAACTCTGATAAAAATGGTCACATTCAGAATATTCCTTATCCAGTCTTAGAGAATCACAAAACTTATTTATATAAGGAAATCCAGAGTATTAAACTTGAATGAATGCAGTCAGTAGAGATCCGTTATAGTCTTTTTAATCTCAGAAATTCCCTAAACAGTATTTTTTTAAAAATTTTACACTGAAGGTGACTCAGTGGTTTGACCACTCTAAAGAGTACAGATGGAGTACTTTAACTTGGTACCCATTATATTAGTGGTCCAATTTATCCAAATGTTGTGAAACCACTGTCAATAACACACATATGTACAGATGTTCCAGCTGGCACAGCTTCAGCAGATTCTAGGACACACCAGAACTGTGACAGCCATGGGATGAACACAAAGTTTTTGTTTGACCTTGTCTGGAGTTGAAAGTCTCCATCCAGCCTAAACCAGCTGGATGGCATCTGGAAGCACTAAGACAGCCCAACCTTGGCAGGCAATAATCAAACAAGATGTCCCCTGAACTCGGCACCTGCTGGCAGTGTGTTGTGTGGTGATGGAGTTCTTTGATTAGAGCCCGGTCCACTGTAGGATGGGTTAGGCGATAGAAGAGCTGATGAACCTAAGAGAGACAAATGAAGAATTTCTTTTTAAACGTAGAATTAATTCTGTACATTAGTAAAACATACAACACAGATCATAAGAATTAAATATGTGAAAAGCAAAGGATCAATTACTAGTTAGATTACTTATTCATTTATTCAACTGCTAATTTCTGTAACTGATAAAGTTGATTGTCCTTTTCTGTTCTTAATAGTTGACTAAAGAAATATGACTAATTTAAATTTTTCTTTAAATTTTTAAGCTTTAAAGAAAAAAAAATCAACAAACCGGGAGTTGGAGTGTATCGAGGCTGTGATATTATTTCCTGTGGCTCATAATTTCTTGCTGGGAGGGGTGGCATAAAATCTCTGGTGTTGAAACCTCCACGACTGGAAGAGCGTGTTGGTGGAGGAGGTGGTGTCTTGCCAGTTCTACTTGATGGACGGCTGGGTGGATAATCTGAACATTCATTCATTCCCTAAAATTCAAGCACAAAATTATTAAATGATACTGTCTTACAAATTTTGATTAAACCACTTCCTCTTATAAAAGCTTTTAAAAAATACTAATGATAATTTAAAAGTTGACATTGTTAAAAAGTGGTATAATTTGAAATAAAAACAACTCTAGTTCAAAATAACTTTGTGAGTGTTTTATGGTACAGTGTTGAAGATTCTTTATTTGTTTGCTTTTGTCTTATAGAAATATGTTTTTATTGTTTTTAACTGGTGCTGTAGACAAAATAACCCTTCTAAAAAGTTTATATGAAAAATTTGTAATAATGTAAAAAATGATTTCTTTGAAAAGATTATTACTTTTTTTTTTTTAACTATCCTGTAGTTTCTTTCACATCTCTTATAATACCTTAAATTTGATATATCAATTTATAAAACTGCTATTAATTTTAACACTTCAACAAAAGACAAGTTTAGGCCTGATTAGCTCCTCTCACCTTGCTTCTAATGTTTCTAAACTCATAAGCATCTTCGTTGGTCATACCATTGTCATAACTTCCTTTCTTCTGTCGTGGTTGAGCAACTCGATAAGGGTCTGTAAAAAAAACAACAAAAAAACAAACTAGTAAACTTATATAATTTTAAATAAAAAAAATAAAAGAAGGTAATTATGTTTTAAAATATGCTATAGGTGTATTCAAGTGATTTGCTATATCCAGGTGTTGTATGGATGAACTAAGGAGTGAGTTACCTTCATTCCAAAGAGAGTTCCTCTCTTGCTGATCTTCTGGATGGTAAGGTATCTTATGTCCACTGCCCATTCTAGGGGACTCTATCTTCTGTGGACTGTAAGGCCTTGACCCAGGGTAGTCAGGCTGTTGAGGCAAAAAGACATGGGTTTCGCACTCATGCTGTTCAAGAATAAAGAAAACCTCTGATGTCAACATAGTGAGTAAATAAAAACCAAGCTTTGGTTGGAATGGGTTTCTGTTAGTAGCTTTATTACATCTTTGTTAACATTCTCTGATCAATGTTTTTTTTGTGATTCACATCATGACTAAATAATTGCTGTACAAGACGTGTGTTACTCAATCTGGACACATCTTTACTGCAGAATGAAGACAAGACTAAATTGGATGAATGTAGTAGTGATTGGTAAACAAAGAGACACAGTCCCAACTAGTACAACTATTAAAAAAGCTGTTCTTTTTCTTTTGTACATCACTTTCAGTGTATAGTTTTACTAGTTGGGTTTAGAATCTACATTCTGAATGGTTTTAAAAGATACGCATTAACTATACTGTAAGATTATTTTAGTAGCAAATAACCCTCTATGGTAGTAGTACAAATGTATTGGAAGCTTTCTTGCTGTATGAACATTGTTGTGAAAAGTCCCTCCCCCCACCCCCCCCCGGTACCCCAACCAGCTAATAAGTTTAGAGGATTTGAAACAAGATCATTGTTTGCTAGTCAAACTGTAACAGTTGAAACTGATGGATTGTTCTTCAAATACAATTCCTATGAATTCCCTTAGAATAGTTTCCCTGTTAGACCAAAAACCTAGAATAAATTTAGTTAGTTGTCAGAAATAATTAGCTAGATA